ATCTTTACAGTATACCCCTTTAAGCCTCCTAGTAGACACCACTTTTGAACTCCTACATCACTTCATTCTCGAGTTATCACATTCGCAAACTTAAGTGTCCAAGCTGCCTGCCTGCCTTCCCAGCAGGGTGACAACTATTCCCCCTCAGCTTTTTACAGCTGACCAATAATAAAAAACCCAAGGTGATTCTTATTAATAAACAAGCAGATGCACACATGCTGTCAAAGTTACAGAACACAATTTGATCCTTCAGACAACACCGATTACACACAGTACTTTAATTTTAAAAAGGAATTGCACATGTTCCCTTAAACAGCCCCAAAAATAAGTTTGGAGAATCACAACATTTAAGAGATAGTGAGCAAAACAATAAGCTCTTTATTTTGAGATGTTAGCCTACAAAAAAAATGCCTGAAATGTATTTTTACACAGATGTGTGACACATAAAAGAAAGGCTGAACCCAGAGCTCTGCAGTGAAGGGAGCTGGTGGCTGTGTTATGCTGTGGGGAGCAAAGTGCTTTACATGGTTTAGAGAGAGAAATTAAAAGCAACACAAAGCTGATGAACTTCATCCTGTGATGAAACATTTCTATGCCAATGGGAGTGGACCCTTCAAACATGACAATGCCTCTCGCTGTCCTTATCAAACTATTTCATGAAGATGAGAATGTTTAATGTAAAATCCTCTGTACTACAAAGCAGGATTTGGATTTATCCTGGTAAATTCACCTTTAATTCAAGAAGGTTCAATTAAAAGAAACAGATTACTATGGAAACTTGTGCTGCAGCACAAACCTGCTCTAGAGTAGATTATGTTCAAGATAAGACATCAGTAGGTGTGAAATCACTGTGTACTGAACAATCACTTCTCCAGAGAAATCACTTCAATCATTCTGGGAGATCCCTCAGGCCTTGGTGTGTGGGTAATAGGAGGATCAAAAATATTATTAGTGGGTTTTTTTTAAGCTTTAGTCTTTCTTTCATCCAAAAAAGGATCCGTAATCTTGATTCAGAAAAATTCTGTTTTACAATCATTAATCCAAAACACAGCAACTATTTGTGCTTTTTGACCTCATATCAAATTTGCATGAAGACTAAGTTTGTATCTGAATTTGAAATAATAAGTCTGTTAAACTACAGAGTCACAACTTTTGCAGCTTCAAACAGACTAAACATTTAATACAATACATCCTGCACAATGTATTTCTTCTCAGAAAAACACATTCGCACAGCTGTTCTGTTCTTACTAAGGCCCCTTGTGTTGGAATTTCTTTTAATTTGTCACCTATTGAGATATCATCTTAAAATCCCAAGTATTCACTGCAGGGACTGTTTTTGTTCTGACTTACCCAGACCACCAGGCGCTGCTAAGAGAAACTCCTCCCTGCCAATTCTCTTTACAATGGGTGTCCTCTCCTCGCTGTTGTAAGGGAAGAGGTCTTGGGAGGCTCCCGTGTTGTAGTTCAGGATCATATACTGTGTGGTAAGAGCCAGGCACAAGAAGTAACCGTCGAGACTGACAGCACAGGGCTGCTCGGGCGTTGTCAACTCTTTCACCAGCTGCACTCTGTCCTCGTACACCATGTAAATCTGGACCGTCCGTCGTTTGGAGGATAGCACGCCCATTTCGACACAGAATGGATCGGCGTTCACCGGGTTCTCGTTAACGCAAAACGATGCCACGCCCCTGATCTTGGCTCCACCTCCACCTGCTGAGGGCACCATTTCCAGCGTCACCATGTCAACGAGGAACACTATCCCTTCACAGAGCACTATGAGACGCTCCAGAGCAGAAGCAGCCCGCAGCTCAGCAACAGGTTTCTTGAGGCCAAGGTATTTGTGCAGCAACTTCTGAGCCAAGTAACCCGGCTTCCCTTTAGAGGAGGCGACCTCAGCCAGCAGAAAGTGATGGATGAAGCAGTCATTGGTGCCCACGTACAAGTGCTTTCCACAGCATTCAATGCACTCAATGTTGATGCGAGCTTTGTCGCCCATGAGGAGATCTCGCTCCACAGCGGGGACTAGCTCAAAAGCCTTCACGCTCATCTTGGCCAAGGCATCTACAGGAGGTACAAAATAAGTTTGCGTCAGCAAAGCTGCAGACAAATTCAAATAATCAATGTGGAAAGCGGACTGTACAACATTTCCCTGTGAGGAATCATTAAGTCTCTGGATATACTCAGCATATAATTTATTCATAAAACTATACATGTATGTGAATTTTTACATGTGTGATGTGTGAGTCTGTGAATGTAAGGCGCTTTAAAGCTGTCGCTTTGAAAGGTCGATTCCCACGCCCTCCCACATCCATAAGCCCTGGGTAGTGATTAAAAGTATGATATCGGATACAAGTGGTAGAAACAAGCTTCCTTTGATGGGTGGTTGCACTTTCCCTTAGAGGGCGAGGAGCTTGGTCGTTTAGGAGGAATGCTGGAAGTAGAGCCACTCCTCCTTATAGAAAGAAGCCAGTTAAGGTGCTGGACATCTAATTAGGATGCCCCCTAAAATTCTTCTAGATGAGGTTTTGTAGGCATGTCCTACAAGGAGGAGAACCCAGGGCAGAACCAGGATACACTGGAGGGTTTACATCTCAACACTTTAATGCCTCCCTGCCAGGTGAGCTGAAGGAGGTAAAGAAAAGGAAAGTTTGGGCTTCTATGCCTACCTGTTGTTCCTACAACAGAGAGCTTGATAAAGAGCAGAAGTAAGATAATGTTTAAGACGTTTTCTCTTTAAGATGAGGAGATTGACATTTCTTTAAAATCTCTCCTTGACAGTACAGCTGAGGATTGCTGGTGTTTACATTTAAAGGCATGAGATTTAGGACTTGGGTTGCGTGAAAGGTTATGTGTTCTGACACAAAAAGATTAACAAAGCAGATATGCGTCTTTATATCAACAGCACAATTGTATTGAGTGTCCTGTTACACTACTATAGTAACACTTTACCCATTTATATTTGACCCATTAGAGATTGCTTTCCTCACACCCTCATGCTCAAACAGTACGAGCTAATGGTGTTAGCACTAGCTAGCTTCCCAAACCCAGAGGCAACAGCGAAAAAAAAAATCACTGTTGACAGTGACTGTGTGAAGGTGAGAGAGTCATCATTAGGATATGAGTCATGTCAGGAAGCTGTGGCCAGTTTTAAATCGGATAGGTTGTTTCAGTACCACGTAGCTGAGCTCTTTCGGCTAAAGTTAGCTTCTACACACTGTTCTCTTGCTATGCTAACGCTAGCAAGCTAATTTAAAGCTAGGCTACATTTCCAGTGTGGTTAAAGCTGCAAGGCTACAACCCTCACGGAGTGTCCGCACAAGGAAAATCAACTTATTTTCCAGTCAATCTCCCCTTCACTGACATGATGCTCTGTGCGCCCACACCCTGCCCAGTTCCTCCCGGAGCAGTTGGCGTAGACAGCAGACCTACCTATCAATGCAGGCGGCGCTCGGGACGGCAGGCCGGAGTCACTACACGCAGAAAAGCCTCAGTACTCCGAAAACCAGGACATGAACTCACACCTAAACGTCAACACTGCCATGCTGCTGGGGGTCGTTGCCGTACCGACAGCCGGATAATACAAGCTGAATGGCAGCCAGAGAGTTCCTGGTTATCCAATATGAAACGCCGCCCATTTGCATTGAACCCCTGCTGGCTGCAGGTGATATAGTGGTGCGTTCACCGTTGTTACGAGTTTTTCAACAGTAGCCACTGCTAAGAAACCACCCGGAGCAGTGTTATTGTGAGGCAGGTGCATCAGCACTATTCATTGTTTACCTCTTCACATATAAAATATTTAAACTAAACAGTCTAAGGAGCTTAGAAGCGTCTGGACTTCCAAGCTCCTCAGACTACAATGACCTGGGTAGAAGTAGAATAGAATAGAATAATCTTTTAATTGTCTGGGTGACTGAGAACCTTCACAGACATTAAGACTAAACACAAATATTTCAGTATATTTCATTCATTAACAAGTAATATTGATCTTTATCTCTGGTGATGCTCATAACTGACAAGTGCGTTACAATGACAAGAGCCAAACAAATATCAGAGGTAATTAAGTGTCTCTAAAGTGGTCCTAGCAGCATGTGTGCAAGAAAATGCATGCCATAACAGTAAACGTGTACTCAGTAGCATTAGTAAGGGCTGCTGTTGCATTTAAACTCATCCAGATTCACTACGTCTGCTCCTCACTGTTACACCTATCTCCTTCTCATTCATTCTGTCATGCTTCCACTGACTTTCATTCCCCTTCTCTCCAGAGAACGCCTCAATTTTACCTCCGTAGAGTTCTTATTATGACTAAAGCTTCTTAATTTAATGACTAATGCAAAAAAAAAGTTGTTGTCCTTTTGATGGCAAACTGATTTATTGTTACTGATATTTAAGTTAACTACACAGTAACGCAGACCAAAATATTTGACCAATTTGTTCTGACACTAAAATGCACCATATGTTCCTGAACGCAACCCGGCCGGTTTTCACCCAAGATGCACCTGTCCAACTGAACCGTCTGAGAAAAGCCATTTTGTTGTGCTAGCTAGCTTCATGTTAAAGAAAGCCAGCAGTAATTTGGGATTTTTATGTCAGCGCTAACGATGTCGCGTTTATGTGTTAGTGTACTGTCGCAAAATACAACAGTTAAACTCGTGGAGGCCTGTAAGTAGCCGATGGGGATATGGACTAGCTTGTGAAGCTACAGCGCCGATGAGAAGACGAGAAGTGTTTGCTAAAGTGTGCTGCAGGTTCAGATAACATACTGTTAGCTAGCAGTGTGTTTACTTAGCAGGAGGTAGTTATGTTTTCGGATTAGTTAACCTCGTGTTAAGTCATTTTTTCCCCGTGAATGTATTTTAAATAGGCTGCGAGTGCCTGTGCTGTCAACCAAAGACAAGTAGCTTAATATAGAGGCTGCCCCGCTGACAGCGAGTAAACAGCCCGTCAGTAAGTTAGCAAAACACTTGAACCATACAGCGATAAGCCAAAGCGCTAATCTGATAATGGCAGAGGACACCCGACAGGACAAGAGGGCCAGCTTCTCTATAACGGAGCACAGTGCCAACGGGATGGCCAGGACCTCCGCTGTGGCCTCGGGCAAAACCGGCACGTCAAAGAAACTAGTGATCAAAAATTTCAAAGGTACTGTCACTGAGCCTCTTCTAATGCGTTACCTAACAGCAGCAGTTACACAGAGATACCATAGCACGTAAGAGGATGTTACTTTCAGATAATGCCTGTAAAAAGATAAACAAACAAAACAAAAAAAAGTTGCTGCCCTTACTGCCGTGCTCAAGCACTCACATGTCACCTTTACCCAGGGCCTGCTCCTGATAGACTGATATGCATTTTCCATTATGCTGCATATCTGTTTGTGCCAAATCCACCAGCCATGGAGTTTTGGGCCACTCCTAAATCCCAGCACCTGTTGTATAAAGTAAAAGCATGAGGTTTTATATCTGACATAACTAATCATTGAACGAATTGATCGTCTGAAAGGTACCGCTGTTCTGTCAGTCTATTAATTCACACCACAAATGGGGAAAAAACTTAAGAGGTTTACTTGTTTTAAATCAAGGTTGATGTTAATATTGAGAAGTTACAGCACTCCACTTTACAATTAACCATTTACTTTGGACATTTTAGAAATGAAAGAAATTTCGTGTGTGGAAAAAGATCGGCAAATAAATAAATGTCAATAAACGATTGAGTCAGAGAGACCAATAAATTTGCTTTGTTCAATTTCCAGCAGGATAAATGTTTATTTGCCAACATAGCTGAGAGTCCAAAGTGTGTGGAGGTACTCCCTCTGTAGGTTATTGTCAGTCATCCCAGTGTTGATGGCTTCATAAATACAGTAAAGCTATTGTATCAAAACTTGCTTTCCTTACCTTCAACATATGACAGAAAACTTTGAAAATGTCATTGAACATTTATTCTTCAGGTTTTATCATTTCCACTTGTAGAGCATTTGTTTTTTACAAATGCTCTACAACTGGAAATGATACTAGGATGTGCTGCCCACATCATAATATGGTCATATTTTAGTCCTATAAGTGAGTCTTGTTTTGTTTTTGTAAACAGATAGGCCAAAACTAGCAGAGAACTACACCGAGGACACGTGGCTGAAGCTGCGAGATGCGGTGGGTGCAATCCAGAACAGCACCTCCATCAAGTATAACCTGGAGGAGCTCTATCAGGTTTGCTGTTTGTCTTTTTAATGACCAAACTAGAGTTAGACTTATTTTCTTCACACCCTGAGTAATGTGTTGCACTGCTGGGCCTTAAAAACATGTTGGTACGGAACAACTGGGCATGTCAAGCTCAAATGCTTTGCAGTCTCGACATTTTTAACACCATAAAGCCACGGAATATTAAATGAGTCTGAAGTTGAAGAACAGCCGAGGATTAAAATAAACTTGTGAAGACTTGCCATTTGTTTTGAGCATGTTGCATCACGTACAGGACGTCTGCTGATGTGTTTGTTTGCTTTTAAACTGTTATGCATCTCAAAGCCTTTCACCACATTTTCACATAAATTCATGATGTTTTACTAATAGTGTTAAAGTCAGTGTTATTATTCTCCAAATCACCTGTCTGTCCTGTCATATAAAAACAATTGTCTCCTGTGTTTTCTTTGTTTCTGCTGCACTTGAAGGCGGTGGAGAACCTGTGCTCGTATAAAGTCTCACCGACTCTGTACAAGCAGCTTCGGCAAGTCTGTGAAGATCACGTGCAGGCCCAGATCCACCAGTTTAGAGAATATCCTTTTTTTATGTGCACAGGCATTTCAGGCAAGCTATGTGCTGAAATGTTGAAGCAGGTAGGATCTGTCTGATATCTTCTTTACTAGAAACCAAAATGATTCTCCGCTAACTGTGGAGTGAAATCCTGTCAGTATATGTTATATCCACTGACTTGATAATAACAAGTTTTTTACTGTAAGAGATAAACATCTAAATTTGTTAAGTTTGATGAGGGGAAAATCTGTAACCGGATACTAGTTTCCAGATGTTGTTCATCTGTGTGCAGACAAGAGTTGGGTATTGCTTATATAGTGAGTAGCAATTTGTTTGAGATCTGCTGCACACAGATAAGATAAAGCAGTGCTCCACCTTGTTTATAAATCTGTAGTTGGGACCTCAAGGTGGATTTTGCTTGCAGCTTATTGGTAGCTTTACTCTTTCAATGATATCTGGGGTCTGCTGGCAGACGTCAAGCGATGCTAAATGTGTAAATGTGTAGTTTGGCACCTACACTGTAGGTCTTTGCATTTACAGATTTGATTGGATTTAATAATCACATTTATTAACACTGGTTGGGCAGCTTTTTGAAGTTTGTTCTTTTAAGTATTAAGAGGAAGTTAGATAAACATGCTTTGTCATTATATCTCATTTGAGGTACTGTAATATAATTCAGAGCTGGGGTTTGATGCCTCGGTAAAAGATTTTCTTTAACTTGGACCTCACAGAGTCTTTGGACAACCTTTCCTTCCTGAAGCGAATGAATCGCTGCTGGCAGGACCACTGTAGGCAAACTGTGAGTGTGATGTTTGATAGATATGCATTTAAATCTGCACTGCTCAAACCTTAGTGGACTGTAGGAATGTTAATCTAATAATTCCCTGTAGATAATGATCCGGAGCATCTTTCTCTTCCTGGATCGTACATATGTGCTGCAGAACTCTCTACTCCCTTCCATCTGGTAAAATTATAGTTAATTCAAGTCACTGTGTCTGTAAAGATGTTCCCAGAAAGCTGATGTTATGTATTCGCTGCAGGGACACCGGTTTGGAGCTGTTTCGCACCCACATCGTGAGTGACAGTGCTGTTCAAAAGCGAACAGTGGAAGGCATTTTGGAGCAGATTGAACTGGAGCGGAATGGAGAGACCGTGGACCGGAGTCTGCTTAGGAGTCTTCTTGGCATGCTGTCAGACCTGCAGGTACACAATCGCCTCTTCGTCACGTGGGCGCTAAGAGTGCATGCCAGTATTTCTCCATCATGACTCTCAACTCTTGTTAGGTTTACAAAGACTCCTTTGAGGAGAGATTTTTGACTGAGACCAATCGTCTGTATGCAGCAGAGGGACAGCGTCTGATGCAGGAGAGAGACGTGAGTGAGACCACCAGTGGGTGTGTGTGTGTCATGTGATTGTCATCAGCAGTGCTGAGTGTGTGTTTGTGTGTGTTCAGGTACCCGAGTACCTGCACCACGTGGCTCGTCGGTTGGAGGAGGAAAATGATCGAATCGTGAGCTACCTCGATCAGAGCACTCAGTAATGTTTATTTATTTACTTATTTATTTATTTGGATTTTTATTATATTAATTCATATCACTGAGACATCCAACCATAAGCTATACCAGCTTATCCTTTTCAAGGGTTGCGGGAGCTTAAGGAAGGTAAAATTGCCTACTCACGATTTAAAACAGCTCTCATGCAACATTCAGAAAGAACATTTAAAAATACATTATATAGTGATATAGAAACTGCTAAATGGGGTTTAGTTTTGAGTCAGAAGGCCAGTGGTGCCTTAAAGTGTCAACAAGCACTGTTATAGAAGATTGCCATCACAAACTTTGACACTACTACACTATTTTTTCTTCCACAACTACCCATGCAATCAGAAAGTTCTTCTTTTGATTCTATTTAAATAAAAAAAATCTACATGTTTTGGTTGGTTTACTCATTTATGATCGTCTCAATCGCACCCTGGAAGTTCCCTTCTGACCACGTGCAGCTATGCATTTGCAGTTTAACTGTGCAGCTCTAACTTGCACAAAATGCAAATTGATGTAAGCGTTTATGTAAAGGATCATCACTGTGGATGAGAACTCTGACCACAACTCAGACATCAAACAGCATGTTTCAGTAAAACAGTCCACATTCTGCAAGCCCATATGAGGTGCTTGCTCCTTATTTTTCCATTGTCCACAGGGTTGTGCAGGACTTACTGATTATATTTGGTGAACATAACTTTAATTTTTTTAGCCCCACAAACACACCACTACTGAGCACCAGCTAAATTTGTTTCCTTTTGACTTCATCCTCCTCTTCAAATTGCAATTTAAGCTGAAGGATCTTTTGACGCTATGGGGGAGGGAATCCAGTGTGCATCACAAAAGTGTATCTGCATATGGACCGAACTGGATTCCCACAGAGCCTTTTAAAAAAAACAGCAGTCATGCTGGAAGTAGTGAATGGATTCACAAGGAGACGATCTTGAAGGAATAATTGGCAAAATATTTATTTATTATATAGTTTTTGCTTTTTATAGGTGTGGTAACAGATATTCTGAAGAACAGCAGCTTTGCTTTGCAAGCAGAGAACTTTGTTTACAGTTGGTTTGTCTTATATTGTTTTCTTTGTTTCACAGGAAACCTCTCATTAGCTGTGTTGAGAAACAGCTGTTAGGAGAACATATGACTGCAATACTGCAAAAGGGTATGTCAGTGTGAAAGGTTTTGCAAACAACCACAAACAAACCGACATAGTGCTGGGTTTTTGTTAAACTGGTACACATGAGTGTTCTTTTCTTCTTTCTTTTTTTCCTTTAGCAACTTTTTTTAGTGCTTTTTCCTTTTTTAGTTGAGCTGCCCTGCCTGTAGAGCTGTATCCTGTTTTTATGCACGTAATTAAACATTTTCAGTATGTAAAATGCACTCATGTGTAGCATGTTTGTGACAGGTCTGAGCACTCTGCTGGATGAGAATCGTGTGACTGAACTCACCCTCCTCTACCAGCTCTTCAGCAAAGTGAAGGGAGGACTTCCCACACTGCTGCAGTTCTGGAGGGATTACATCAAGGTACACACAAGACTCAACACATTTGTAAACATCAACACAAATCATTACTGTCAAAATAAATGTGTCCTGGTCTTTTTGTGTCTAAGACGTGTGTATGTACACTGCATTTGGTTTCAGTCCTTTGGAGGAGAGATTGTATGCACTCCAGAGAAAGACAAAGACATGGTACAAGACCTGCTGGACTTCAAAGACAAGATGGACAACGTGGCACAGAGTTGCTTTGCACGTAATGAGAGCTTCATCAATGCCATGAAGGAGGCTTTTGAAACTTTCATCAACAAGAGGCCGAACAAGCCTGCAGAGCTTATCGGTAGGCCAGGCCATGTAATGATGAATTTGTTTCAGTAATTTCGATTTTTAAGAGTTTTAGAAGTATAAAACACTACCTTTGTGCGCTTAAATGAATTTACACAGATCATTTTAATGCGGTTTTCATTAGTTCCAGCATGTGATAACCGCTTTTGTGCTTTCCATGCAGCTAAATATGTGGATTCTAAGTTAAGAGCTGGGAACAAGGAGGCTACGGAGGAGGAACTGGAGAGAATACTGGATAAGATAATGATAATCTTCCGCTTCATACACGGTTAGTTATATTAAATGAATATGTCACTGTTTGCTTTTCACCCAGTTAGTCTTACTAGTGAATAGGAAGTTTGTTTCTGTCTGACGTCTCTTGATCTGTTTTGTACATCCAGGAAAAGATGTGTTTGAAGCTTTTTATAAGAAGGACTTGGCCAAACGCCTGCTGGTTGGCAAGAGTGCCTCTGTTGATGCTGAGAAGTCCATGCTGTCCAAGCTCAAACACGGTAAGTCTCTAGTCCGATATCTTATATAGTCTATAAACAGATGAGAGTCCACTTGTAGTCCAAGTTCTGTTGACCAGTCAGACTCCAGCAGAATGCAGTTAAAAAAATAAAAGTGACAACATCAGCGATTGTCTGATGACAGTTTAAATTTTCATTAGATTTTAAAAACAATGACTGTCCTACAGAAAAATCTTGAACTGGATTTCCGTAATCCGTCATCCAGATATCCTGTTTATACTGGAAACCCTGAACAATTGTCTGTTGCTCTTATATGCTGAGTCAGCAGAGTAGCTGTTTTTTAAGGCAGATGGGAAATGTTTCACACCTCACAGTCAGCACGTTGCTGTTAATCAACATGCATGCCTGACTTATGGATATATGCTTGATGTTTTAGAGCAGTTAGATGAGGAAACTGGCCTTTTGGTTGACCTTATGCTGTGCATGCAGTATATTCTGCAATTTGATTGGTGCTGCTTTAACCGCAGAGAAGATCTTTATATTGCAGTAATATAGCAGCAGCAACTCTAAATTAAGTTCTAATATGAAGTTATTAATCCTAATATAGACTCTCACGGGTGTCTGTGGTAATGTGGTAGTGTGAGAAGCAGCCAGCTGTAATATTCATGGTCTTGACTTCCTGCAGAATGCGGGGCGGCGTTTACCAGTAAACTCGAGGGGATGTTTAAAGACATGGAGCTGTCCAAAGACATCATGATCCAGTTCAAACAGGTACCTGAAGTCTTCATGCACATAAACAAAACTAGATAAATGAAGAAGCTTCTTGTATGAGAAGTCCTGTCACTTGTTTTCCCCCAAGCTCCTGAAAAATAGATATTGTTGAGCTTTGTAGACACACTCCACTTTATTTGTGTCTCTAAATGCTTTTTTTAATGCATCATTGTAAAACAATTGTTCTTTTTTAACTCAGTATATGCAGAACCAGAGTGAGCCAAGCAACATAGAACTTACTGTGAACATCCTCACTATGGGCTACTGGCCTTCATACACACCCATGGAGGTGCACCTGCCCACAGAGGTAAGCAGCTCTGCATTTAGGTCTGGCACACCAATACACTTGACCACTGCATGAAACAAAACAAATCAGCTGATCCGATCCAAGACAGCGTTGATACAAATAATATTTTTATGTTCTGGTAGATGGTAAAACTCCAGGAGGTGTTCAAGCTGTTCTATCTGGGTAAGCACAGTGGGAGGAAGCTGCAGTGGCAGCCCACACTGGGCCATGCTGTACTGAAGGCAGAGTTTAAAGAGGTAAGAGCCTTGTAAGAGTAAGAGATAACGGAGCATGGAGAAGGTGGATACACTGGGCTGAGAAAACATCTGGACTGCACCTGGATTTAAAATGACTACTTTGTACTGCAGGGTAAGAAGGAACTGCAGGTCTCCTTGTTCCAGACGCTGGTACTGCTCATGTTTAATGAGGGAGAAGAGTTCAGCATGGAGGAGATTCGGGCTGCCACTGGCATAGGTAACGTGTGTCTTTATACAGTTTAACCGTTCTGTTTGGGGAGGGGTACCTGCTGTATCACATGGCTGCTCTCTTATCCCTCACAGAGGAGGGAGAGCTCAGGCGCACGCTGCAGTCTCTGGCCTGCGGAAAGGCACGCGTCCTCAACAAGAACCCACGAGGGAAAGACGTGGAGGACGGAGACCGTTTCAACTTCAACAATGATTTTAAACATAAACTGTTCCGCATCAAGATCAACCAGATCCAAATGAAGGAAACGGTAAAAATAACGTCTTGGTCTTTGGTTGGTTTTTTCATTCACTAGTTGGGGTTTTTTTGGTCTTTTTTTACGCATCACACTTATTTATTTGTTTTCCCTACAGGTAGAGGAGCAGGTGAGCACCACAGAGCGTGTGTTTCAGGACAGACAGTATCAGATCGATGCAGCAGTGGTGCGCATCATGAAGATGAGGAAGACCCTCAGTCACAACTTGCTGGTATCGGAGCTCTACAACCAGCTGAAGTTCCCTGTCAAGGTGATCAAGATTAAGCCTGTTTTGGGGCTTTTTTTAATTCATTAATTTTATTTCCCCATGCACCTAAAGCTCATCTGACTCTCCTTACTCTCCACAGCCGGGTGATCTGAAGAAGCGGATCGAGTCGCTCATAGATAGAGACTACATGGAACGTGACAAGGAGACTCCTAACCAGTACCACTATGTTGCCTGAAGGGGTACCGCTGTCACTGTCATGCTTTTTTCACAGCAAGCGTGCAGCTGGCCCCGTAGCACAGGACTACAGCCCCTCAGCCACCCGACTCTCCTCTGGTGCCCATCTTTCCCTCCGTCCACTCTCCTGGACACAAGGTCCAGATGACACAGAGCTCCAGAGAGACGAGAGACACTTGGCTGTGCTGCTCCCATTCTGCAATATCCTTAGTGGGACTCTAAGATTGGGCTGGAGGAGTGGCCCAGGTTGTTGTTGATGGTTGATTCATGTGACTTGCAAATCTGCTAATGCAACACACAACAGAAAATAACTAGCACTTTCCTCTGTTTTTGTTTAGTTTTGTTTTCCCCTCAGATTGGATTATTTTTCTCCATGTCATTCTAATATCACTTATTTTCTACTATAGGTTGTTTGTCTTGAGTTTTAAGAGTTCTGGTTTTTTTTTTTGGTTGTTGTTTTTGATGTTTTCCTTATGAACGGCTGCATAAACTGCTGAGTATAAGCCTGACTGGCTGGTTACTTGACACAGCTGTTGAGGATGGGACGAGTAAAGAGCACAGATGCTAAAACATATGCAGGCAAGCTGCTCGGGTATTACGTTTGGCATCTTTGTTATTTGTTTTGACCAAAATGTCCAAATGTTCACTGTAATGTGCTGATGTTTTCGTAGACCAGATTGTGTTCTGTGTAGGAGTGCGGAAAGTGAAGCTGAATAAATGGGTATTTAATGATTCAGTTGGTGATGTGTGCACGTGGTGATGTGTAGGGGTGGGCGGATCCAAATATCGATAGTAAAGATACCAACGCTGGTGTTGGTATTGAACTGACACTAGCAAGATAGGATCAATACTCCTGTTGAAGCTTGGTTTAGACTTCTGTGGGAATTCTACATCCTAACTTCAGCGAAACTGGAAACTCCTTTTACTGTACACTTCAGATTTCCACATCGTTTGAGACCTAGTAAGTAAAGATTATTTACACAGTGCTTTTTAAGGCAACAAAACAGCCACAAAATGCTTTAGAGAGGCATTAAAAACAAGGACAAAGTGAACACAGCTAAATCAAGTGAAACAACACAAAACCATTACTGACATCCCTGTCAGAATAGATGGGTTTTCAGCTTTTTTTCTTTCTTTTTTTTTTAAACTTTTTTTAAGGATGCTGTAGAGTCATGGGTGGAAAGAGAGAGAGGTAAGCGGTTCCACAGTTTTGGCGCTAAGGTTTAGAATGCACAGCCTTCCTTAGTTTTCAGATGGGTATGTGGAATCACCAGAAGACCTCTGTCTGTGGACCTAAGGATCCAGTTTGGAGAACAGGGAGTAGATTAGTGATTTTAAAGAAGATTTTAGACCAATATCTACACCAAACTAAAAGCCAGTGGAGAGTGACAGAGACATGAAACTGAGAGGATGACGTAAACCCTCAGCAGAGAGAGCCCACTGTCACAGTTCTTTCAGAGAGGCAAAGAATAAACAGGTAGCACATATTGTGGGGAAAGTAATGTCTATTTAATTTATATAGCACATTTAAACAACAGAATTTGACCTAAAGTGCTTTAAAGAGAGCCAAATATACATTCTGGTTCAGGATTTGTAGGCTGTACTAATAACGCTGTCCTTTCACCATTCCCTTGATATTGCTTTTTTCATAGAAATATAGGGGTTTATGGCTGGCTGACTAATACTATAGTCTCATTTAAGGCAAAAAAAAAAAAAAAAAGGTGGGTCCCTTGTTAAAAAGGATGGCTGAACTGTACACTAAAATTTAGCAGGGCCCTCTGAGTTCCTTCTAGGGTTTGGCATGCCCTCGTGAATTGAAGATGTCAGCTGACTGCCCACAACACGCACTTAGCAGAGTGCACGGCCTAGAGGTGGAGGCGCCTTTCACGTGCTACACCCTCATATAAAAAAATATACAGTTCACTGTGCTGTAGTTCGCACACATGGTATAACGAAAATCTAAAATTCCATAAGTGGTTTAAAATGTTCTTTAATGGATTGGGAACAGAAAAGGAGAACCCGGAAGTCAAAATATCCCAGCATTTTATTTCTCCAGCCAGTAGCATTTTAATTAATAAGCCCTGCGTATGACAGTGATGTGAGAAGTCATTTTGATTGCGCCCTAGTTTTTTCATTAGGCGTCTATTAACATCCTGTCAAATCCTACCCGGCAGTAAATGTGGGGCAAGAACAATCATATTTTGTCATGCAGGTATACAGAATGAAATGCTGTTGCCACTTGGATAGCAGGGCAAATATGCAGCCTTCGTTGTTTGGCGGAGATGGCCGAGCCGAGTTCACAGGGGAAGCGGGAGGGGCGGTCTCACGTGACTGGGGTTCTAAAGGCTAACAGTTCACATGATGAGATGAGGCGCAATCAGACTGTACGCCTGTGACCGACGCTCGACTCTGTTTACTGGTCCTTTAGCCCCAGCTGGACGCAGTTTAGGGACAATAAAAAGCCTCGACTACCCTCCTTCACACAGCAGACACACGTAAACGGGAGCACTGTGGAGTCAAGTGTGGCCGTGTAGACCCACCTGCGCTAACAGCAGCAGCCGCCGCGGCTCAGCACCACTTCTCTCCCCGGGCTTGTTCGTGCTTTCCGCAAGGGTGAAAAAGTGCTTCTTGCTCTGCTTGAAAATGAAAGTGTCTCACGCTACGGCCGGACTCGTCGTCTGGTTTGTGGTCCTAGGTGAGTTCGTTTTTTTTCCCCTCTTGAGAAGCTACTGTTGGACCAAACGGTGTAAGCGTGAGCAACCTGCGGTAGGTTTAGTTGTCAGGTGCAAAAACTGTCGGTGCGTTACCGGCCCGGGCCGTTTAACCGTTTTAGCTAAAACTAGCCAAAAAGGTTTAAGGTTTCCCCCCTCGTTCAGCTCGTTAGTGCTTGCCGTTGCCTTCGCGTGGACTATAAATTGCATTGTATTTAATGTCCATAAATGTCAAACTCATAACGTAATTGAAACATCAACAACTCAGGGAGGATAATTTACATAAGACTATTTTTTTAAACTGTTTTTCCTCATGGCATGATGTTCCTGTGCGCACCCTTTCTTTGTTAAAGGCTGAAAATCATAAAAAAAAAAAAAAAAAA